TACTATTATCGGCAATTTATAAAAAATAATTTTTATAGTTTCTTGTCTGTCGGTTGAAAGTTATAAAACAGCCATTAAACGGACGTCGTGCTCTTGTCAGAAGGCCATCAACGTCCGTGACGTGTTCGATGGAATTCCTTCTCTTGTTCATGATATTTTGTGGTAACGCGGCATCGTATAGCCTCCCCGCAAAGTTCTATGGTGTTCCAAACGAATGCTTCTCGGACCCGTTGTGTGCGTGTATGGTGCATGTACATGAGAGAGGCCCGATGAGACCGCGAAACATGGCCTATTGAGGCTGGCGAAACGTAATTGGGCCCACAAAAAATGGAGCGGAAACGCCTGGACCCCATTACAGGTCTCGTAACGAGTTCTCCGCGCGTTGCTCAATCCGCGCTGGCTGGTTCGCGCGGTTTAAGCCGCCTCGCCTTAATCCAAAGCGTCACGATCTGTTCTCTTTACGATAAATACCAAAGAGCTGCATTATTTTCGAAATGCGATTCAGCCGACGATTGATAGGAAATTTTGGCCCACGTCGGTCGCTCGTTTGCCTCGTTAAACTGCAAGAAATTTCACAATTTACTTCCACGACTCTCTGACAAGCGTAAAGGTTATGTTTCACTTTCGCGTGAAACGGCTTTTAGTCGGCTGGACTTACCCCGCTTTCTTCGTTATTTAATCCGTGTTACGAAAGTAAAACGTGAACCGATAAAAGTAAACCATTCCGAGCAGCACGCATCGTTATCGTTGTCATGCATTTCTTCGTCGTCTTGAAAAATACGCCACCACTCGGACAGTTCGCGCCAGGCGTGTCGAAGCGCGGGAAATAACGTTCGTGGCATCGACTAGCGTTTTCTCCGATCAAGGCCTTGGTTTTTCATACGAGAGTTGAATCTTTTTCATCGCCCAACGCTACTGCGAGCCTCCCTCTCTTGGCCCCCGCTGTCTCGCGCTTTAATTTCCAGCCTCGACATTTGCGTAACCCAGTTTCGCCATTGTTCGATTCAATGGTAGATCGTAACGTCCGCCATCCGGATAGAAGATTATAATGCTCGCGTGTGTATGGCACTGCGCATCGTTGCGTCGAACGTGTGCGAGTGTAACGTTTGCGCATGTGCATGCGCGTGTGCGCCGTGTAACGACGCACCGAAAGTATACACACGCACACGGCCTCGGCGTGAACGTATTAGTATGCCGTGGCGATAAGCGAGCGACGTTCACGGAGAGTTCGCGCAACGAAATTTACGAATTCCAGCAACTTTCTCCTCTTATTCTTATCTTAGCTCAACCTCACGAACTCGTTGCACCAGTTCCCACTGCATCGTCTCCCTTTTTCTTCCACAAATGCCAGCGTGTTTCGGCCCGTCTCGATGTCGTGCACGAGACAACGCGTTTAATAGTGAGTACGAAAGTTGAATAACTGATTGCTACTGTTCCACGAGTTTCATTTCCGAGACGAACTGTTCGCGATTCGCGAAAGTAACGCGTTATATTCACGTTTCCTTTCGTCCGTGGATTAATCGCTCACACGGTAACTTTTACGACGTGCGGATTAATGGTTGATGAGGTTATGTCGTACATGAACTGTAAAAACGTTAAAAAATGTGCAATACTGATATTGACATAGATAAAGGAGAGTTTCCTTATCAACTTTGCGGATGTAAAAGTTCGTATCCGCTCAGTAATATATGGTATGCGAGTGGAAAAATTTCAAAGTGAAGATCGTGTAAAAGTCAGGGAAATTTTAAGAAGAAAACTTGAGTCAGAAGCCTGTTCTAATTCGTCGGACGCAAACATTCGGATCCACCGCCAAAAGCGTGGCGCGAAAGTTGCACGGTTTTGCGGTTTATCGGCGAACGACAAAGTAGGAGCTGATAGTCGCTTACCGACGCGATGCGTCGAAATACAGCGAGTTACTGGTTGGCCATTCGCGGTCGGAGAGAGTGCAGCACTTACAAAGAGCGTGAGGCATCCTGGCTAGTAAAACTGGCAAAGTCGGATCGCGCTCTCCCCACCAAGAAACAAGTGGGCCAGAGTTTCTGCATCTAGCGGCACGGGGCCTTGCCCCCACTTAGCACGAATGGCACGAGACCCCGCCCGGCAAGTCTTCAAGGCCCAAATAGAAGAAGAAAGACGAACGTAAGCGTAAGCGTGGACGTAATGCAGCCGGTCGGCCAGCGATTGACCCTGAACTTCAAGTCGTGCTTGCTAACAGCAGCAACAACAACAACGCAGTCGCACCAGCAACCATTTCCTTATTCAGCGATTTTCTTAGTAACCGCTTGAGGAGACATTACGTATGCGGTCGAGTAATGCACACGCTCACCGTGTCGTGCCATGTCTCTCTCTCAAGGACCGTGCTCCTTTTTTCTTTTTTCCTTTTCTCGGACTCTCTTCGATTCGCCTTTTCACTCTGTACAGTTATAGCTGTCTGATTTTCGGCGCGCGCAGCTGTTGTGTTTTCATCGAGAGAAACGATCAGTAGGTGGCACCAGTGGTATCGTTCCAGGTTTACTTTAACGATGTTATTGACAGTTAGCAAATTTCTAACGACATGGAATTTACGGTGTTCACAGTTGGCGTCGTGTTCGAACGAAACGCAGAGGGCGTTGCTACGCCTTCGGGATATCGGGAAAGAAAGAAACGAAGAAAGCAGCGTATGCGATTCGCGATCTCTTGGATTGACGGAATTCACGCCCTCTTCGTGACTCTTACCCAAGGTCTTCCCTTTCCAATTCGATCGGATCACTCATCGAAGGTCACGTCGATGAGTATCCGCTTGACAAGCTCCTGTATCATGTCGGTATCATGGGAAGATGGTTTTGCAGTATCGATTTACGGTCACTTTTTAACCGACCGATCTTCGTTCAAGCTTACTCCTCGTTTGACGTCTCTTTGTCCCGAATGGAATACAGATGACGGAACTTGCTCGGCTTTGTGGTAATGCTTCGAAATATTTGGCGATAATCCACATCGGCTTGCTTAGGTTAGTAACAAAACACAGCACGCGTGGTTTTCTCGACCGAGCGCACCGTCTCTCGAGGAGAGAAAAAAGAAAAAAGTTTCGCTGGCGTTCGTGAATGTTAAGCGTGAAACTCATTGTGCCTGAGACACGTTTGACATTGCGGAACGCGTCGATGTTTACGGCATTGGTTTCATAATATTAATTATACTTCTGCTCGCTGAGAGTATAACGTGAAATCAAACTTTCTCTCCCGGAGCTCCCCTTGAGAAACGAACGGTCGCTCGATTCTTGCGCGACGAAATGTCAAATTCATTCAAATGCGTGGAAACGGGACGAAATGTGGCCCGTTCGTTACATCCCCGCCATCTGTTGCATTATCGCGGAGTTATCGAAAAGCGAGCCGCGTCGGTAACATTTGCTGTGTATAAATAATATGACACAGCACGTGCAATTTCGTTACGTCTCTCCGAATAAACGTGCAATTTATTTTTCTCGGTAACCACCTTGCCGCGTTATTTTCTAATCGTGAATAAAATTGCAGTGCAGTTACATGAGTCACGGTAACATTTCGTTGTGAGCTGGTTGGCTGGTGTTCGGCGTTGCTCCTTTAATAGGAAGTTTCTCGAAGAGCCACGAAGATCTGCAGGATTTCCCCTCTCGAGAGTCGAGATCATTAATCAGCGGGATCGCAACTACTTAATTACGTTATTGCATCCGAGATGCAATTCTATTATGTTTATCGATGCACAGTTACCCGTCGAACAATTACGTCAGCTGGTGCGCTACGTTGTTTTCTCTTCCCAGAAAGATAAAATTTTATCGTTTCATTTTTTCCGTGTAATAACTGGATTCAATGTAATTCAGCAATTACCTTGAGCTCGTTCGTTTTAGCAAAGCACACGCTGTTCTTCCGTATCGTGTTAATCGTAGATCGAAATCGTTCTCGCTGGAAATATCCACGTGAAAAGTGAATTCGACGGAATAAATAGCTTTGGAACTTAATTACACAGATGAGCTATCATTAGACGCAATTCAAGTCCTTAGCAGAAAGCTGAGCGAATGTCAGAGAAACGTGAGAAACATAATCTTAGGACACGTCACCGCCTTCCGCCGTTTCCAACAGAGGCGGGGCACGGAAAGATGAAATTAGTGTAACGAAGCTGTCTTTGCATGACGCGAAGCGACGAGACCACATTATTAGGTTAAGGACGTCACACGTATTTCGCTCATTTCGTTCTTACGAAAGAATTTTCACGGAAACTAGTCTCCGTTTGCGTTCTGCGCCGTAATTTATCCTACCGTATATCACAGTTGTTTTATCTCTATATATACTATCATATATATATATGACAATAATATATCGTACCTGTAATATATCGATATATTATTTATTAATCACAAATTATAAATATTAATATATAAACTATAAATAAATAATATATCATACATATTATATTTATTTATTATATATATTATATTTTTGTAATAGGTTTACGTATTGTACGTCTAGAAAGATGTGATAAGAGCTGTGATGCACGAACGTTTCTCTCACAGGTTCTAGCAGCAGAGGTGTAATTTAGATGTCAGTTTAATATAGATAAATATAATTCAGACGTGAATTGCTTTCAGCAATGTCTTCGGTGAAACGTTCTCGCTAAATTCTCGTTATAAATCGAAAATATTTATAACTCGAAATGTATGTGCTATAAGTGAATTTCTTATTCTCGTTCAAAAATGAAATTATTTTTATATTTCTGGGAACGGACAGGATAAATCTGTGCGGAAAGAGTTCGGTTTTAAGATTATCATTTTAGTGAAAAGTGTACTGCTTGTTCGACACACGATGTCACCTTTATCAATTCCCTGTTACGTAGTCGGTGTACGTTTCCTTCGCAATTTGCTCCTAAGGTATAAATGTACATTGATCCTTAATATTTCTGTAGAGATGATATAATACGCGATGAATTATACGGGTAAATATGATTACGCAATAAAGCAAGGAATAACAAGTAATAATCGATGAACCTTTTTACAGACGATGTATACTGACGGTCTCCTGACACTCCATTATGGGAAGCATCCAGCGACCTTGGCCGCAGAGGTCGGAGCCTGGTACACCGGGGACCGTCACGTGGACGTGACGTTAGCTTGCGACGATGGATCCGTCGTGAAGGCCCATCGTGTAGTTTTGGCTGCAGCTAGTCCCCTTTTGGCTAGTCTCCTTCGCAACCCTGCATTGGACCACGTGGTCCACTTGTCCGGGGTTCGAAAAACCCAGCTGACCCATCTGCTGGAGTTTCTCTATAACGGAGAAGCTCTCATTCCGGTAAACATCTTATCCAGTTGGCCCACTGACATGTCTCTGGATGATGAATGATTGAAGAATGATATTTGCTTTTAGTCGACGGAGCTCACACCGCTTAGGGAACTGTTCGAGCTTCTCCAAATTAAGTCAGAGCTGTTCGAGCCTAATCAACCTCAGACTTCTAGTAATTCCGACCCCGAAAGGATACCCACCCCCCAGCCCTCGGAGGGCCAGGAAAGTTCTAGCTACGAGTCGCAGTATGATGGCAGGTTGGTTGAGGGATTGGATAGTGCTAAGTGTTCGTGAAATGTCAATACGATCAACGAAATAGATACTGTAATTTCTCAGATAGAGAACTATTAAGATTAATTCCTGCTTTCGTCTGATCTTTACCCTGGTAAAGAGCGAGGCTGATGCGAGATATCGATTCGTATAATGTCATTCGTCTTTTGCGCCTTTATCTGCCACTTTCTCAAGATGAATGGACGTGATATCGGTGCTGGATAATTTGAAAATTATAGATAATATGCCACGAAGGAATAGGTATCATTGTATGTACCGTGACGTTTCAGGCAGTCCAATAACCCCGCAGACTGTTGCTCGGTACTCATAAAGACAGAAGGCTGCGAGGAAGAACCAGAAGTAGACGTCGAAGGCGTCGAGGGCGAAGCGCTGCTTACGGAGAACAGAGAAAGTAGTATAGAACCGCCTCGAAGGAGGGATAGTTCCGATCCCGTGAACTTAAGTTTAAATTCTGGAACTTCCACTACTAGCGAAAGTTCGCACGATATCGTACCTAGGTAAGAGTTTATTTGGGAACGTGTAAAGAACGTCGATGAATGCCTTGTTCCGTTCCAACTGGTTTGTAATTTATTCTATGAATTACATCGTGTTTCCTTTATTCAGGCCAGAAAAACAGTTACTGGAGAGGCGAGAATCTCTGGAGGAGGTGGAAGAGAGAAGGAGACAATTAGCGGCTCGACTCGCGTTAGGCTTAGAACCGGGAAAACGAAAACCCGAGGAAATACCTATCCCACCTGCGGAGGCGTACATCGTAACGCCTCATCGAAAACGAAGGCCAGGCTTTCACAATGCGCCTGCACAGAATCCAGCCTTTGTACCATTTAATCCTGGATTTGAGACGCCGAGGCGGTTGCAAGCGCCACATCCCCTCAGCGTCTCGGCACCTCCGTACCTGGTACATAAATATTTTCTCTCGTCCCACGATGCATAAAACTAATTTACGTAATTATAGCCATAGTCGTTATATACTATTTGTTATATACTTGTTATTTGCAAGTAACCTACTGATTTATTGTAATTATTTGTGATTATTGGACAACGAGATTAGGAATTACTTCTTTAATCTTGGTGCAAAGTTATAGAATTAAAATTTCACTTAAAATTGTAAAAATGTTTCAACGAATATAAGCAACATAAATTTATTTGATGCAAGGAAAATATATTTGTAATAAAATGGTTTATTAATATTATTAGATGAACTAATGATACGAAATTAGTCAAATTAGTAAATAAAATAGGTGGTAGATAACAATGAAACTTTTTAATTTTTAAAAGTGTAGATTATACACCAAGCGTTTCTATAAAATATATATAAAATTGTAATAACAATAGAGTCTATTAATTACTACTATATTATTGCAAAATTAAAAATTTTAGTAAACGTTAAAGTCACATTTACAAAAATATTACAACTGTTGTTATTAAATACCATATAAGATATATGAATGAGTGTTCACTGAAAGGTATTCGTGATCTATAATTATATAAGCTTGTCACTAAAAGCAAAGTGAAATCAAATATTCGTTTATTAATTAAAATTATCTCTTTTAATTTACTTACCTACTTAACTGTAGTATCGAAACTGCTTATAGACAATACAATAATAATAAATAAGAGTTTTAATAAATTTGGGTTTTAATAACAACAATAATAGGTTACTGGGATACTATAAATAAATATTTATTTGTAACTTAAAAACTAGATAGCATAGATGTAACACCTTTTACGTAATAATTAAATTTGATTATTGATTAAATATGTGTATATTGTGTTTTACAGCAGGACAGGTCAGTGACACCTCCAGGAGCGTCACACAGACCACCAAGCGCAGATCCAGCATCGGCGGCAGGCTTGGAGCCACCTTGGGGTTCTTGGGCGTTGCCACAAGCAAGGGCGCCCCCACCTCCGCCAACGGATGACCCGCCGAAGTCTACTCCCGTTCGCGAATATCGGTGCAGCTATTGTGGCAAACAGTTCGGAATGTCTTGGAACTTGAAGACGCATTTGAGAGTGCATACGGGTGAAAAACCGTTCGCGTGCAGACTTTGTGTTGCTATGTTTAAGCAAAAGGCTCACCTGTTGAAGCATCTTTGTTCGGTTCACAGAGGCGTTATAGCCGCCCCTGACAATACCTTTACTTGTTGCTTCTGTTCGTTAAGTTTCGATAGTTTACAAGAGCTAATCAGGCATTTGTCAGGGCCGCATAATAATTTGCTACTTAGCAAGAATCTGCACGACTAGCGACATGGATAAGGCCAGCCGGTGCTGAAGCATCACCTCGAACGCATCTCGATCAAATTTTATTGCATTTCACGCAAAACGACTCGAGTATGCCTTGATCGTGTTCAGATCAGAAAATATGTGTGCCTTCAAAATTCGAATTGCAGTGCAAGTTACTTTCAGTATTCGAACCTTAGATTCAGCATTTCCTTTGTTACTTAGCGTCTTATTTCACCGCCCTGGATGCAAAAAATTTTTGGTCTGGATATTGATCTCGAGATGATAAAGTCACTATATATACATTAGAAGAGTAACCATCTCCAATTATTTTCGTAAATTTACAAATATTTTTCTCGAAAGGTATTTTAATGTAGGAACACGTGGAATCATATGGCGCCACCTGCGCGTATGGTTGGACGTGGTTTCTCCGCGAGGATGCAAAGCGTGCGTGAAATAATTGTTACCCTGCGACGTGCTCTATTTTATAAACTCTCCAACGATATTCTGTAATTCTGTGTAGAAACTAAAAGATTTTCACGAACCTTTTCTTTTCTCTGAGAAAGAATAGCACGAAGCACCGGAAGAGCCTTCCACGATAGCGTTACGTCGTTTTCGCGACCCTCTAAATTGAAGTTATTCGAAGACGACGCAACAATCGACTACCTGTTTATTATTATAAGCGATGACCAGTAACACTGACCAAATAACATATTTTCGACAGTCGACGTTGGTCGGAAGTGTGTCGGATATGTTGACGGTCTCTATCAGGAAACGTTAAGAAAGTCGAAACGAGAATCGAAAAGAAAAGCAAAATAGAAAAGAGCAAAAGATGTATAGAAAAGAAACGAAGAGGCGAGAGTCAATTACCGTTGTCACGCGCCGAATTTCGACCAAGTTCACTAAAGTGAATTCGACACGCATCTTCTCGTTGCGTCTTACTTATTGAAAAAGCTTTTAACGCTTCCGTTCGCGTCACGTGACATCCAGCAAAACCTCTCGTTTACCTCAGATCGCGCGCAAACAATCTCATGTGTAAATAACGTTAATGTTAGTAGTAGGAACAAGCGGACGGATAACAATTTATTTATTTTACACTTTGCAAAGGGACCAACTGATTTTCCACCGATTTCTGTCTTAGGTAGATTTTAGGTATCCTGCCCGTCAATCGCCTCGAACAAATTTGCTTGCAGAGAACTGTGAACAGTTTCGAAATTAGCGTATGGAAGGATTCGATTAGAAGGTGAAGGATGTAGAACAAAATTGGCGTTCTCCTTACCCTACGAAGAGGAACATTATCGGCGAGACACGATTCTGGAAGAAGCGACAATAATTTTACAAAACGGTTTCAACTATTCGCCGACCGATAGAATGAACGTTGCTAATGTTCTTCCACGTATTACAATCCTCGTCTTCCACTTCATCGTCAGTCCTTCTCCCTTCCTCCTTTACCCCTCTCCATCTTGTGTTTTGTTTTTCCTCGAAACGTCTTTGGTATCTCAGCGACTCGAGTGCCTTGTCAAATGGGTCCAAATTGGTCGATTGGGCAGTGATTTCATGTGTTCATAGGCTTAAGATACGTACACGTGTAAGATGACGATACGAGCTCGCTTAGGAATTGAAAGAAAGCGTTAATTAATTCACGTAGAAGTTTTTAATATCACTCGAATTAATCCAAGTTTCGTTAGGACCTAGATAGATTGTTTTAAGTAGTAGCTTTTGTTTCTCTAATTTCTTTTTTGTTGGCGCAGGACGTCATGATTTTTTTTTTTTTTTTTAGATAGGTATTACTACCTAAGGTGCCTTGAAGAAGGGCCTCGACCTCTCTTTAGCTCCTTGGCCATATCAAAATCTCGAGTATGAAACGAGCGGCCTTACCGAACGAGCAATATCGGATAAAATCGAATTTTAATGGATATCGTCGCAAACAAATGTTACATTCGTTTCACACTCACACGTACATTCCATATATTCGTACACGCAAATGTTTTCACCGAACGGTTCTTCCAAGAGGAATTAGCTCGAAACAAATTTGCTATGACAATAAAATGTATAGATACCATTAGACGTAAACTTGTTCCAGTTTTTTTTTTTTTTTTTTTCTTTTTTTTAAGGAACAATAATAAAAATTCCAGCTACTGCTATATCTACGATTTAAAGCTTTTAGACCTGATTTTAGAAGTGTTTTAAATAAGAGATTTTAAATAAGGTCGCTCGTTTCATTAGCCTTCACCATGGCATTTTTGCCCCCGTAAGCGGGTTACGCAAATAGAGTATACATATTACGTGTATGCAAAAAGAAAAAGGAACGTAAGAAGAGGTTAGAGGGGTGGTGTGCGCTCTCAATTAAGCCAGGCAAAAATGGCCAGCACAAAACAGTGAACGCAATGTGATACTAAATGATAATAAAAATAAAGTAATTATTGTTTAGCGTGCAACGCTTCGGCGAATCGCACAAGCGCGACTCGTGGCTCTTTCAAATAAAAAGGAAAAAATATCTTTCGATCGCGAGAGGAAGAAGCTAACGGACGATCCTTTTTTCTGCGAGCCGCCTAAATAATTTTTAGTAACTAACTTTTCGTCGTTTCTCCTTCCAACCCTCTTCCCCTTAAAACCCTCTCCAGCCCCCTTGTCCTCTCTTCACGAGACGTAAGCGCACTAGGATTACGTATACAGATTATTTTACCGTTAATTAGTTACGTTTATTGTGTATACATACACATACATACACTCGCGCGCGCGCATACACACAGAGACACACTTACACACGTACACACGCTCGCGGCCAGATGTCCCAAGAGGGCATTTTGTTTTTTCCTAAACGTAGCGAAATATTGTGAAAATAAATCATTTCCGATGAATTTTTGAACTTTACTTCCGGCTATGTTGATGACTTAACCAGGGAAGACTCGTATTTAAGAGAGTAAAATCGTGATGGTAAATGCGTATGCAGAGTTCCAGTCTTGCAAGGATCGGCCGTTCCTTTGTCTGTAAAAACGATATCGACGATACGTATTATTTTTCGAAAAGAAATTTGTGCAAAATCTTGCGATTGTGAGTGAACAAACAAATGTCGTCATACCTTTCCAAGATGAAATAATATTTGCCTTACGTTACCATATCGTGCATTACCTTTTCTTTCCTCGAATATTGACATCTAGAATCTTTTATTCTTCGGACATCTGGTCAGAGTTTTGTAGAATTTAAGCATCTTCCGAGCGGAGAACGTTTTCCGCGTGCTTTCTTAGTGTTCATAGATTTACAAGAAATAAATTAATTCAGATGAGAAATCTGTAAAAGAAGATAAACAAGCGAGCGAAAACAACTTGGCTCATATCAATGTCCTTTCCCTTCCCTAAAACAAAAAAAAAAGAGAAAAAATCAGTAGGTTTATCTGATTTGTCGTACAATCTCTTATTATACGAAACTTAAAATCAATTCAAGCTACAAGTATTATTCGTATGCAAATAATATGCATACTTTGTCAAATTTGAAATTCCAATGAGTTCGCGGAATATAGATAAATATAAATTTTGTTCCTTTTGTCTCCAATCAATGATACACATAAAAAGAACGAGACACGCAAAATGTATAAAAAAAATAAATCTATTTACAGAGCTAATGTACATACGTTCACAAAAGCCACGCGCATAAATGAAATTTATCGGAATTGTTTGTAGCGGTTCCTCGTTTATAGACCTATTGACGTATAGTTAGAAGAATATCTACACCAAACTAACGGTTCGATGACCAAGGATTTCATACAAAAAGAAACCTCGTTGAAAAACCCGTTACCGGCGGGCCACCGTTCACAATGGTGGTATATGCTAAGCGCTGTCTGTTGACAGTGTCGATTGCATAATTGCAACGTGATAAGTAATAGCCAGTTCTCGTTTTGTTCTGAGAAGGAAAACTTGGGTACATTTGCCATCTACCTGCTCCATTTGTGAACATAAACACAGACTTGCTAAAGGTCGAGGTTGCTGAAACCGGCTTCATGAATGACTACAGGAAGAGGAATAACACCATCAAAGGTGTAAGTTTCACAATCATGCATTCCAAGATGCTTGCTGCAATGTGTTCTAATCCCGGTCTTGTCGTAGGCGAACACTTGATCGAAAACTTAAAATAAAAGAGAAACGTCTGATTAGGATTTGGGAGAAAAAATTGAACGAAGTCCAACATAGGAATGTAAATACAACCGTAAAAATTTATATATTCATTCAATGAAAACGAAAGTTTTAGATGTGATTCACCATTCGGTCTTTTTTCTCATTCCCCAGCATCCATGTAAATATTTTGAGACCAATTGTGTCAAGGTACGATGCAACTGCTAGATTTCGAAAGTATCGTATTCCTGTTAACAAAATTACTTTATTTTAATACATTTGCAGTATTTCTTAGAAGTGTTGCTGTATTCAAATACAATTTTTCATATACATACGTGCAAACAATTAATGAAGATAATAAGTTTCTTCGTGTAAAAACTCTTTAATTTTCTTCATCTATTTTCAATAAATATAGATTGAGGAAAGGCATAAATCATTCGTAATGACGTGACAAAAACTTGCACTTACTTGATAGGTTATATTCCCACGTTCACGTCATATTTTCCTTAATATATCCAATTCTCTTTTTCCACGTCTCGTATAATCTTTATATCGTATGATGTATAATGATAATTTAGAATAAGAATGTTTTATCGATGGAGATAATATATAGACTGAAATTGTTAAAAAAATCGAAGAATTAGAAAAACAATGATATAATCGATGTGCAGATGATTCACCTGTCCAGTGGCGACCTCGTTACAATTGTCATAAACATATCTAGGAAATGTTGGCATCTCGTCAAATTGACTGACATCGATCCACCGGATAAGGGATTCTTCTTCATCGACCAAAAGTACCGTTACCCGAAGAAATTGCATAATGGGGTCTGCATCGTTTCTCGACGGGTCGCCGGGTGCCACCTTGGTTCAACTTCTTGCTAAGAAGTCCTCTAGCAACATTGACCAATGACCATCGTCTGGTGACCAGATTCTGGGGCCACGGAGAGTACCGTAAGAATATTCACGTGTAGGTAAAACAGAGGGGGTAGTGGCCGGTCAACGCTCCTGCGCTCCCTGGTTAATGTATATAAGAGAAGCGGTTCAAACCATGTTCACAGTAGACCAACGGTAGACATGATCGGGAAGATAGTTCTGTTTCTTGCGACTTTGGCTCTAGCTAGAGCCCAGATTCCCAGTCTGGGTTTCTGTCCGGAATACGTGCCTATGGCGAATTTTAACATGAGTAAGGTAAATATGATTAACCACTTATCTAGTGTAAGTTATCTTTTTCTAAATTCGAAATGATGACGTATATTTATTGGTAGATGTCGTGTATCTATCGTTACAATTGTGATGTAATTTTCATGAAGTTCAATGTTGTTTACATTTTTAGTTTATAAAATTCTCATTGTCATGTATGAAAGTAGAAATTTATTTATAAGTACTACAAGGTAGAACTTTATGTTAAGTAAAATTTATATAAATGATTTCACCAATGAATTATTTTAATTGTTTAATAGTTTTTGGGTGTTTGGTACGAAGCCGAGAGATACTTCCAGTTGACTGAAGTAGTATCACGGTGTGTAATGGCTAACTACACACAGAGCCCTGACGGTAAATTCCGTGTCAGCAATGAAGTTACCAATAGATTGTAAGTAGATTGCAGTTAATGTCAACTTTAAAATAAAACAAAATTTATATCAAGTGATAAATAAACTAATATCCAAAATTTATAATTTTTGTAGCTTACATTCACAAAATTATCACTATAGAGTGTACTATATATCTATATAATATAAATGTATATAAAATATTATCATTGTACAATTTTTTAATTTGAAACGAGTTTGATATTTTATCATACTTCGATACTTGGTAAGTTGGTTCCATTACAAGTGAAATTTATTGGTGACCATGACTTACATCTATAACATTCAAATAATAATCAACATTTATCCTTCAAATTTCTTACCTGTTTTCCAATAATCTTTAATTTGTTTAGCTTAATTGGCATTAAATAATAAATCTTTATATTTATAATTGAAATTATTCTAAGTATATACCTATGATTATCTGAATATTTAGCACGGGAATCAAGAGAATACTGGAGGGAGAAATCAAAAAAGCTGTATCGAAAGCTGAAGAAGGAAAACTGACTGTAAAATACACAATACCATTAACTCCTGAAACTAAATATTCGATACTCGAAACGGATTACGAATCTTACGCCGTGATGTGGAGTTGTTCTGGTGTTGGACCATTCCATACACAAAATGCCTGGGTCTTGACAAGAGAAAGATTGGCACCAGGAACAGTTTTACAGAAGGTAAATTCAATATTAAGAAATGAATGTGTATTATTCTTTAAATTCATTTCCTTCTTAAATATAACAAATATTTTTAATTCGTTAATCATTTATTCACGATACTTGCATTCACGTCTGTTATTTTATAACCTATATCATAACCTATACGACATTTATTCCTATTTTCTTAATTTTCTGTAAATGATATTAGAAATTTCTCTATGCATGAAGAATTATATCATAATTTATTTTCCCTAATATATTTTCTTTGAACAGGCTTACGCTGTCCTGGACAAGTACAAAATTTCCAAAACATTCTTCATAAAGACGGATCAAGACGACTGTGCTTATTTGGACGCGACACCGACGAAGCCAGCGGAAGCAGAAACACAAAGTGAAAACAAGCCAGAAGAAGCGTCAGAGACAAACAATGAGAATGTTAGGTCTGTAGTTCCAGATGCACCGGAGGTAATTGTTGAAATGAAAAAGGATAAGGAAAAGGCGAAGCAGCCTGAATCCGTCGATAACGTGAAGACGCCGGTTAATACGGTTCCTGAACGTATCATGGAGGTGGTAGACACCGCGAAAGAAGATCCGTCGATAATTGATGCGAAACTAAACACAAAGAAAGCCAGTGAGCCTATAGTAGAGAAAGCGGACGAAGATTCGAAGCGGACATAGGGTCTATTTAAAAATCGACGATTAGTTCTTAATTTGTTTCGTTTAAAAATTTTTCGCGGGTAATATATAGTTGAGGTTCAGGCTCGTAGCGGTTTTGTTGTCAAAACCAGTCTCGCCTGAGTGTTCATTACTCATCGCGTTTGCAAGGATTATCACTTTCATGGTTCATGGATGGGAAGGAGGGTATTTGTTTGAATTTATGTACAAATGTAAAAAAAAAAAAAAATAAAAGTTGAATAAATTGTTACATAAAATGTTACATGAAATTTCGTTGTATTTATTATTCTCATTCCCTGTACGATTACATACGGATCGTGCAATAAATCGAAAAATAAAAATACGAAAGAAAGAGAATATAAAATAAAAATTTTAGTATGATAGATAGATTAAGTATAAATAATGATATTGTTTAAAAAATTGTTTAAAAATAATAATAATTTTTATTACTGTTAGTTTCAATTAATGTTACTATTAATTATGATTAATAACGGAATTTTTATTTATCGTATAATTACTAGAAATATTTCAATTTTATGATCATAAAAATATAATTCCGAATGAAAAATAATACCTGAGAGAAATGAGTTAAAAATTTAAAAGATCCAATAATCATCTAACATGTATAATTCATAAGACTCTAAATTATAATATTCAGAAGTAATAATAATCATAATTAGTCATATTTCATGGGTATGTCATATTATCAGTTAATCACTATAATTAACCTAACAATTTTCCAATTTTTAAAGCGTAACGTGTTCAAGTATCTCATTTCGAAACGACCACATATAATCAGAAAATTCATAAAGCAATAGCATAAAAGCAAAAGGAACGTAAATTTAAGTAGTTACTATGCTAACCGTTCTTTTTAATAAACCCAGAACAAGTAATTAGTTAGTCGCGGTATTTTTCATATAGGCACGTTTATAAAACGATAATGCGTTAGCCACTCGTTAAAAGAAGCCTTAACCGTAACACGTTCTACATACCACCGTCGATAACAGTCGACAAAGGTTATTGAAACTGGTCGCACGAAACTCGTCTGATCGAAATTAGATCCGAAGATAAAAATCGGTTAACAATCGATTAGTCGTTGGTAAATTCGAACCGTAGGCCTGGGGTTTCTTGAACCTCCGACGTACCGTTAGTGACCCACTAACTGACAGAAATCTTCCGAACGCATCCAGTCAGCCTTCGCGGCGCTGTCTGCGTAAGCGGAAGGCGCAAAGAACGGGAAGCCCAGTCACTGACAGACGGTTCGTCGCGTGAGAAGTGTGACCGCCAACCCCGATCAGTTCCTCGAGTTGTCAAGTTTCAGCGTGTACAACGATTGTCAACCCGGTACGTGTCCCATTCAAATCAGTTCAATTCGTGACTCTCATAATTTTTCTTCACCACGTATCAGAGATCGTCGTGTTCTTTCGCTGCATCGTATACGTGATCGTGATACGAGAGGTTACGATTGATGAATAAAAACATCCACGCGGTTTAACTATTGATGTTAATATCCGCATTCTTATATACGTAAAATATATCCCTTTTTATTCCATTCTAGATGCTAGTTTCTTTTTTATTACTATCTTAGTTACGTTGAGAATTTGTTTCAATTTAGTTTTATATATATTGTATCATAATTAGAATTCTTATTTGCAAGTGGTTTTATACATTTACTTAAGTTCCCTTTTAATGAAAGTATTTTTATGGTATATGTAAACTCGTAAATATAGAAAGTAGTAAAAATGTAATAAATTTCTCTCGGTAATAATAATAAGATATTATTTTAACGAGATGAAAATTAAGTGGTACATTACCTCTTATTTTTTTTTAAAATATTTTACTTTCTTTGAGAATTTGTTTATTGTAATTTTGTAATGTAATATAATATATTGTAGTATATTGAAATTTCGTATTTTTCATAATAATTGTAATTTTTAGTTGGAAATGTTTTTATAGGTTCATGTAATTTTCTGTTTAATGAAAACGTTTATTACATATATAATTGGTAAATATAAAAAAAAAGTAAAAATACATTTTTTTTTTGCTAATCAAGTTATTTAAAATTTTATTTTAATGAAAGTAATATATTTAGATTAATAAAAATATTTGTTGTAAAATATTATTTTTTAAAAATGAAAATTAAAAGGTATAAATACGATGTTGCACATAAATTGATGATTTCTTATTTTTTAATTACATTTATGTAGGTAATGAAACGCATATTTGCAATACGAACGTAGCTACTTTCTTACCAGGAAATTAAAAGCTAACTGTACTTTTGAAACGCGGTTTGATTGAAGTATTTACTACGGTCAATTTTTGCAAATATTTATATATTCAAGAAACGTACGTGCCTCGCATATAGATGTACAATACTGGTTAAAAGTTTTTGATTATATTCTGGATGAAAATTTTTTTGAGAAATATTAGTCCAAAAAATTAATAAAAACTTTAAAAAATATTTAATTGCTTGATTATTAATTGCTAATTATTAAACTGCTAATTAGTAATTTAATTAGCAATTTAATTATTAATAATTTAACAACTAGTAATTTAACTTAGAATAAATATTTTTATGATCTATGGTATGATTCTGAGAAATTTTCTTCTGAGAAAATACTGCGACTAATCATTAATATTAATAACACTCAAACCACTCAAGAAGTAAATAATTTTTTCAATTCATGAATAAATATAGAAATTCTTGGTATTATTTTCATTTTTCTCCCCCTAGAAAATATTTGCTTGAGATTTAATAACTATTCCCAAAAGAGGTTTAAAATTATTAATATTAAACAACAATTTTTTTAGAACGTTGTCGAACAATTTTTTTAAAAACTGTTTTTAAAAATTGTATTCTATTTTTCGATTTTTCAAAAAAGGTATGTGATACAAATTAATTTTTGAGGTCATTAATATTTTATAGGGCTCTCTATTACTATTTGGAAATTTTGGCAAAATTATGTAATGATTTAAAAAAAAATTTATCTAATATTTACTGCAATCACATTTTTAAAATTTCGAAAAACTGATTTTCATATCTTTTTTCCCTTGTTTTTGGTTAATTTTGAATAATTTTTCATGTGTTCTACAAAATTTAATTTGAAACTCTTGTTATTGCAAAATTTGGAAAATATTTATTAATTGTAAATACGTACTATGATAATGGAAATATCCACTAACTATTTTCTAATTTGAGAAACATCATTTTTCGTGGTTTAAAAACATTTCTGAAATATTAAAGAATATATGATTTATTTAACAAGTTTAAAAAATAGTTATTTTAAGAAAATTTATTTATGTTCATTATCAAAATATTTTTCTTAATTATGATGTAAAATACATCTTTGTTGTCTACATATAGAAAGCAAAGAAAACTAAATTTTGTATTTATATTTACAAATAATTTAAACATCAACATTTTTATTTATTGTTATTATTTATTACGTTCATTTTTATATATTCATGCATATACTCACAGAATATTAAGACACTGTGTAAATATATTTACTATTCTAACTGTAAACTGAGTGTCATATAAATATTCCTTGGCAATTTCTCTATTTACCTTAAAATTAATGAACCACTTTTTTACACACATACATAAAAATAAAAAGTCAAATTTATCAATAAATCATAATTATTATTATAAAGATATGAATTATGAAAAGTACGTACTAACTCATGAGCATTGAGACACTTATGCCAATCTTTTTTCCATTATTACATGTGTACAATAAAAATAAAAAGTTTCCGCTCTAATATGACTGAAGAAAAATAAACTAAATCTGAAAAAAATTAATGGCAAATTATTAATAACTATAATAATTATTATCTCATTTCAATTCTTGGATTTTAAAAAAATTTCATAGTACTAATTTCACCAATCCAGTATTGTAAAACTTCATTTTGCTTTTTCAATCAATTTTGAAGTTCATATTAATAATTCTCCTATTAGAAAAATCTAAATTGAGCATAGTAGGCTCTTCAGGCTAACCCATAATTCTCGGTTTATTATTTTTCTACAACTCCTTGTAACTCCAGCAAAATTAATGTATTCTTCTTTGCTATGTGTTTTGGAACGCTATCCATTAATCGTTTTCTTGATTATGTAGGTCAGTAGTCACCTTTAGTAGAAGACCGATAATTTTCTCATTACTTATGGACAGAAGTGTATTTCTTTCCTCTGTTTCTCTATTCTATGTAATTTTATATATCTTTACGTAAGTCGTAATTACACGATCAATGAGATTCTACCATAGATGCATCATTGAATTCATTCTATAAATGAAATATTCATTTTATATAATTAATTTGTCCGAATGCAAAATATATCATAAATATTATTTATTTACTTAGTTTTATATTATATTACGAATAATATAATTATCAACAATTTTTGTCACTTTTTATATTTTCCTATTAAATTTTTTAATAAATTTTATATTATTCTTTGTTTTTAGTCATAGTTTATACGTAGATGTACGAAACTATACATTTAAATCAAATGTATTCGAATTTTTACATTTGAAAATAAAACATAAACGTTAAATTAAATTATTTAAAATGGTGTGATACATCTAGCAAGGAAAAAGTGTTGAAATTGTACATGAGAAAAATTAGAAAATAATTCGACGGTGTATATTACGTTTATAATAGGTTTATTGTAAATATTAAGCGTGGTGGTGCTAGTGAGTTCGGTGGAAACTCCTCTTAAAACTGCCATAGCACCAACAGATCTACTAACAGCATATTAAAATATTTAATTTTTAATTAAAAATTTTTTACTTTTGCTTTTGACTAATATAGTCTTTGAATTCGAATATTTTTTTTGACCCATAAATGGTGTATTATTTTGGTTCATTATAGTTGAATTATTTTTCAATTTTACTCAAAATATAACACAGTGTTTCTCGACCAATGTGTCAGTATATCATTAGAATTTCATTAAAATTTCGCACGTGATAAAAATATCAAAAATTTTGAGAAACATGTACCGTGTACTATGACGAGAAAAAAAAAAAAAAATAAAGAAAAGAATATAATAAACTCAAATAAGAAAAAAAATGTGTTACCATTTCAAGTAAATAAAAATTTTTCTTCTTACAATTACGGTGTACCACAAAGATCCAATTCTAGTTCTGAAGTGATCTCCAAAGAGGTTAAGAAACCCCGATGTACCGTAAACAGTAAGATAATACATTGGAATACTTTCGTGTACTAGTGCACTTGTGGCGCACCCTGTATATTAATCCAAGTTACCTGTTAAATTAAATACAAATTAAATGAAAGTAATAAAACGATTTTTGTTACAGAAATGACGATGTTGCGGATATATTTAATTTCAATCGTAGCAAGCGCCGCCATGGCACAAGTACCATTTTTAGGGTCCTGCCCTCTCGTGGAAACTATGCCAACCTTCGACGTGAAAAGGGTATTTACCTTCAGTACATAATTTAATGTTCATTATGCTTATTAGGAACCGGAATAGATTTCTTGTGAATACCTGTGTTATTGACTTACTTATGAGGCAATGCAACCTGCATTTAGAAAGTTGTCCTCAATAGGACATTGATATACATCCGATGTAACAAGAGATATGTAAAGTATTCAAGTTCAAAGACGATGCATACTGACTTTCTTCCAGCTTTATCGTTTGAATAAACTTACTCCAATCACTATTTTATAGTACTTGGGGAAATGGTACGAGATCGAGAAGTACTTTGCATTCTTCGAGTTCGGTGGAAAATGCGTGACTGCGACTTACAATGAAGGAGAGGGTACCTCGCTCAACATCTTGAATAAGCAGATATCTGCTTTGTGAGTATAATTTAATTGCTTCCTTGACATTATATCTGAACGATTTCTGCTAACTTTTTGTATCCTGAAATATTTGTTTTATAATTTTTTAATTCCATTATTCTAAATTATAAATAATTATCATTATAAATAATCTATTACTATAACTAATTATTGAAAATAAACGTATTAATAATAATACTGTTTTTAGTTTATTTTTCATAATTATTTGTAATTAGTAGTTGCAGTAGTTATTTTAAATTAAGTTCATTTTAAATGAATAATAATCGTTAATAAAGAGTTGTGATATTATCTTACTTTTTTTATTTATCTAGAACTGGAGTTTCTTCAAGTATCGAAGGTGTTGGAAAACCAGTTCTCAAAGCGGAAGATGCAAAACTAATTGTTACGTTCCCGACCTTGCCCCTTCCAGTAGATGCACCTTACTGGGTCCTTGACACTGACTATACAACTTACGCTGTCGTGTGGAGTTGTTCGAACTTCGGTGTGTTTAGGTAAGCAATACGAGGAGCTAGAAATATAAAAAATATGAAATATTCCTAAAAATGCTATTAGAGATATTAAATATATCCTACTATTTTTTAACAACAGATGTTTAACAAATATATATTAGTATATTTTATAACTATTCTTCCAATAAATTAATTTTTCATCTACTTTACCTACTGTATATATTTCAGTACGAGGAACGTCTGGATTCTGGCAAGGGAACCGAAGCCACTTGTTCCCGTTTTAGAGAAAGCTTATCAAGTGCTGGATAAAAATAACATAAGTAGAGCATATTTCATCCGCACAGATCAGAAGAACTGTCCTGTAGGAAATTAAATGATATTGTATTAAATATCAAAACAGATTTGTCCAAACAATATAGTTTTGTTGCATTGTAAAGTAAGTTCACTGTAATGATGTTTTGTAGATCACTAGATTTCGAAGATCATAATTTTGTATGATTGTGCGCACTTTGTTTCGTGATTATTAAGTTATTGATCTAATATTAGATTGTATACTAGATCTTTTGTTTGTAACTAACATGATTCACTTTATTGATCGTCGATAAGGAAAATTGGCAGTTGGATAGTTCTGTATGATCATTATTTTTATGCAATTGAATAGCTTGTGATTTTTAATAGCCCATTAATTTATTATTTCACACTGTTCTGTAAATTTATCATACAAAAATTAATGTAAAATTTTTATTATATAATA